GTGTCATTTCTCTTGTCTCGTCGACGTTTACAGATATTTTGGATAGGTATTCGTCTTTTATAATAGGGATTCGTGCAGTAGCTTACATGTTTATGTTCGTACGTCGAACTCATACTCAATACCGCGGACGATATAATTACCCTGATAAAAGAATTTCCACTTCTGAGTCTCGGATGCTCTTAGTCACTATTACTCAAAAGGTTTATTTTGCAAAGGAGTATAAAAATTTGCTGGATCATAAACCGGTGTCAAACTCGAGTCAGTTAGCTCCCTTTAATCCCGTTCTAGATGAATATGGCGTCATGCGTTTGAATGGTCGTTTACTGCGGTCACCCACACTTTCGAAATCGGAACGTTGCCCTATTATTCTGCCCTATAGAAGTAGATTCGCTCGACTCTTGGTGGAGTATATACATGTTAAGAGCGTTCATGGTGGCATTCAGTTAATTTTAGGTATCTTGAGAACGGAATACTGTATTCCTAGAGCAAAAAATATGATGCGTGCGGTTATTTGTAACTGCAAAGTTTGTATAGTCGATAATACTCAATAATAGACAGGGCGTTTACTGCAACTAGTGTAGACTTTGCTGGCCCTTTTGAAGTAAATTCGTTATCTGGACGGGCTTCCAAAATAACAAAAGGATACGTTTGTGTATTTGTTTGCTTTTCGACCAAAGCCATTCATTTGGAGGCCGTGTCGGATTTGTCTACTGCTAATTTCATGGCCGCATTACATCGATTTATTGCTCGTCGAGGTTGTCCACTTACGATATTTTCTGATAATGGCACAAATTTTGTAGTAGCTTCTCGCGATATTCGCAAAGATAGCTCTGAATCGGCTTCTGGTATTCTCGCACACAAAGGTCTTTCGTGGAAATTCATCCCAGTCGGTACCCCTCACATGGGTGTACTTTGGGAGGCTGGAGTTAAAAGTTTTAAAAAACATTTTCGGAGACATAGTCGAAATCTTCGCTTCACCTTTGAAGAATTAGCAACAGTGTTAGCGCGAATAGAAGCTTGTCTCCATTCGCGGCCACTTTGTCCTATCTCGAATGATCCGCAGGAATTGCGCGCGTCAATTAAGAAGTGACCGGGTGACTTCTTAATTGGCGCGCCGCTACTTGCTCCTCCTGAGCCTTTCATTTCTGAACAGCCGATATTGCTCGTGAATCGATATAGAAAAGTGCAATCACTTGCACATTTGTTTTGTAAAAGATGGAAGGAGGAATATCTTAAAACTTTGCATAGGCGGTATAAATGGAAATTCCCGAAAAGAGAAGTAGAAAAGCCGGATTTAGTCGTGGTTCGGCACGAGAATCTTCCTCCGACCTCGTGGAAATTAGGTCGTGTGGAAAAAGTTTATCCGGGAGTTGACGGACACGTTCGAGTCGTCGACGTTCGTACAGCAAACGGCATTGTAAAGCGGCCGATAACTAAGTTGGTCGTTTTAACCGACGAATCTCCGGATGAAGATAATTAAAATGTTTTCCTTTCGTAGTAATATGGACTCGAAGAGTAATAAGGAACGAAGAAGCGCACCACTTCGGAAGTTGTTGAAGACCTGGCAAAGCCCATTGCTGCGTACGATATCTGAAGATATTCAGGCCAGGGTAGAACCCATAACTGTGGGTTCTTCGGCATCCTTGGTTCCTGTTCTGCAATCCACGTTACTTCGTGAAGTTAGGTCCGACTTGGAGTCCGTAAATGCGGGCTCAACGAGTTCCGGCGTGTTAAATCGCAATTGTCGCATTTGCAATCGCAGACACTCGATTAGTACGTGCAACGAGTTTCTGGCTATGACAGTTCAAGAGCGCAGAAATATAATTGAAACACATCAGGACTGTACACGTTGTCTGGCAAAGTGGCATCAAGCTAATGCATGCCACTGCAGTAAATCTTGTATTAAATGTGGGGGTAGACACAATACCTCGCTACATTCCGATACCATGGATGTCAGCACCATTTCCAAAAGGTCAGTTCGTTAACGACAGAGTGAGAGGTCATATCAATACCCTAATCCGTCGCCACGTCCGAGGTTTGGTCCTACGACCAGTTCGTCCGAAGAATACAAACAGATTTCCCAGTTTGTCGGGAAACCTCTGGGGTCACTCGCACTCCAAACTGCCTCCACCATATCCCCCAGCCTTATTGTTCGATTACTGGATGTTGCTCCATCTGTTCCTATTCGAGCAGTGTTAGACCCTTGTGGAACACAAACCCAAATTTGCGATTCGATGGTGTCTCATTTGAGACTACCCACCTCCAATCTGGATGAAGTGTTGTTTTGTCGCATCACAGTGGCCTCTAACTACGACCCTTCTCAAGTTATTTCGGTTACTGCGAAGGTAGCCAATCTAAGGCGTGTTTTCACGCCTTCCGAAGCTGTCCCCGAAAAGATTAAGGAGCCTTTCTTGGGATTACCACTGGCTGATCACGGTTTTTTCATCCCTGGTCATGTGGCTTTGGTGTTCGGTCCCGACGTGTACGCTAGAATCGTTACTAATCGAGTACAAGCGATGCCCGGTCTGCCTGTAGCTCATTAACCCTATTTGGATATGTCTTATCTGGAGTTTGCTACAATTAAAATATCTCTTTAAAATTTCGATTGGAAAAAATGAAATAAATTGAATTGGTTGGATTGCTCACATAAACTGCACTTTATTATATTTAGTTTTAAGTAAGTAAGTGTTCAATTTATCAAGCAAGTGTTCATAAAGTTGCAAGGTGGCCGCCAATGTTTAATATAGAATAATTCCTTAACTTTTCGTAGTTTCCACATTCATTGTTTTTGAAACTTCATCTAACGTTATACTCGTTCCAATCTGCATATTCCTTTTTCTTACAACAGTAAATTGTCAAAATGCAGATTCTAACGAGTGGCGAACTACCGCCAACTCCACTTTTCAATGTTATGATTGCACTTCACTTGTCACTCGCCTACCAATTAAAGCAGGTAATCTATTCTCTTTACTAACTTTTTGAACCCCTTATTTATCTCAATAAAGAAACTGCCTTTATTTTAATATCATATAACTAAAACGTTCGTGTTTTATTTATTTTGGTTTAATTTCACGCAATCTCGGCGTAACAATATTGATATAGCAGTTTTCTCAGAATTTTTTTCTGAGAAGTCTAACAAGCCAAACAAGATGATAAATTTTATCCTTATTCAAAAATTCAGAGCAGATGGCTATGGAGTTGTAGCCATCGCATTTAAAAAACATGTTAAATTTTGCAGAGTCATCTACAATACCAACCATGATATAATAATAGCGAAAAACTTAAACCAACGTCCAAATTTCCATATTGTCTCCGTTTACTTCCACCTGTTCAAGCTTCAAACTTAAGATGTGTAAACCTTGGTAAAATTACATTTAAAAGAAATCCTGATCCTGATGGCTCGGTCCTTGATTTGGCCTTTGTTAGCAACGGTTCAGCTATTGATTGGAGTGTTCTGGACAACTATCTCGGGGGTAGTAAACACTTTCCTGTTATCCTACAGCTACATGGTAACATTAATGGTTCTAAGAAGTTCCTTTCCAAAAATAGACTGTTTGAATCCTTGAACAAAGTACAATTAGAGCCTGATTTCCAAATGATTGAGGATTCTCTCAAAATGGAGATATCGTATGCAACACACCACCTAAAGAATGGAAGAACTCCCAAGTATTGGTGGATCGATCAGTTACTGGCTCTGTACAGGAGATATGTAGCTGCGACCAATAAGGCTAGAAAATACCCTTCATCTTTAAAACTGGAGAATGCCATTTTGAAAAAGGGAAACTGGAAAGAGCAGGTAGCAGTGGCCAAATGACAGAAATTTCTGGCCATAATTGATGAGTTTAATAGAGAGCCCTGTGCTAGAAAATCTCACTCATCTAAGGGATCAAGTCCCTAGCTACACACCTATTACCTATACCACAACTCATTCAAACCAGACTCATTCAAACCAGACTCATTCAAACCAGACTCATTCAAACCAGACAATCGTTTTATCCACCGAGTAACTGAACAATGTCCTAATGTCCAATGTCGTATCACATACGAAATTGTTAATAATCCTTCAGACCAAGCCCATGAAAATCTGCTTATTGCAATGAATAATGCCTGGACAAATTGTGACGTCAAAAACGAATGGACGAAAATTAAGATTGTTCCGATTCCAAAAAGAGGCAAGGATCTAGATATACTTACGAATTTTAGACCGATTTCACTTATATCCGTTTTCTATGTGCATATATGACTTGCTATACACAAGTCTAACTTTATTCAATATCTACACACTTGGCTTACATGGAGTCAATGACCAATTTACCAAGAACTTTCAATTTGCTGAAGATTTTACCATACTGTCGGCGTACAATTTATGCATTCTAAGATCCCTTAATCTCAAGTACAATCCAGAAAAAACAATTGCTATGTATGTAGCAAAGGGTGCAAGGGAAGTTCCTGAAATAAAGGTGCATGACACTCGAATAAATTCCGTCGATAAAATCAAATTTCTTGGCCGGCACATTAAGAACAGCCTTACGTTAAAAGACTACTACGATGAGGTAATCAGCTCATGTGGCACAACTCTTGATTCACCCAAATTAATTATGCCGACAAAAGCTGGAATACCTATGAATCATACAAAGCAAATCCCACAAGCAAAACAAGCTTTGGGCTCATGTAAAACAAATTCAAACATATTTTCGACAACACAAAATTCTCTCAGTTTGAAACCCCTGGTGAGAAAATAACATTCCTAATAAATATTTTTAACTCAACTTCTAGCCAGAACTTCTTATTTAAAATTAACTCAAAGTGTTCATCGCTTATGGGAGAACTAAATGCAATTAATAAGGCAATTGGCACTATTCTAGTGGACGGTATTGGAAAGGCCCTCATTCTAACAGACAGTAAAAATGTCTGTCTTTCATTAAATCACAATAACACCCACAACTATCTAACCAACAAAATAAACTTGAAGATTAACAACTCAATATCAGTTCACTCACCTTTATTCCGGTTCCGTCACATATATGCATCACAGCAGATGAATGTGCTGACTAGTGGCCACAGTTGGCTGTATAATAATAACACATATATCAATCAATGATGCATATTCTGCAATCTGTGGAATGAATGGGTCAACAACTGCAAAACAATATGAAGAACAAAAAGCATATGCTTCTTCCAATTCTTCGCTTCACCTCTAAAATCACAATGGTATGCTGGGTTATCTTTGTCACCTGGAGAAATCAAGTTAATAAATCGTCTTTTGGCTGACCATACATTTACAAAGACCTACCTTTTTAAAGTAAATAGAGCGGACACCAACTTATGTGATGTCTGCAACATACCAGAATGTGAAAGTCATCCAATTTTCGCTACATTTCCGGCAGACATTTTGTGGAGAACGCACACGTTTTGTTTTCTGTTGAAAAGTTCTTTGGAAACTTATTATAGGTAATTGTCTTTTTGTCTTAAACTTTACAAATAAATAATTTAACTTGAATATGGCCCAGGCAGAAAGTGTTGACAGCCTACCCAATTCTCTGATTGTTTGTTGCTTGGACAGCGACAGGTCAGAGGGGCATTAGAATAAGGTGGAGTCGAGAAATAAAGCTAAAAGAATCAAGAATGATGCGGGGAGTATGACAAATGCTAGTGGTAGCAGTGCTGATGGAAATTCGGTTATGGATATGGAACAAGAGAATTATGCTTGCAGAATTGACAACAAATCCACGCACCTCGATGGGGCCGAAAGGGATGAGCCGAAAAAAAGGAAGATGAATGATAAAAAAAAGTGCTGTATGGTAAGGATAATGCAGATGAGATAAATGTGCTAGTTGACACATCGGAGGTAGAAAATGTTAAAAATAAAAGGGTCAAAAATGGTCAATATTTTATGGAAAAGATTAAAGACCTGAAATCGGATGAATTCAATAAAATTAACAAGATGGTCGCTGTGTGTGATCTGAAATCAGCCAACGACTTTGTTAACAACAGCGAGTTAAAAGAGGGAGAAATGAAAGTATATATACCAAGGAATTTTATTGAGACCTTTGGTGTAATTAGGAATGTTCCATTATGCTGGACTAAGCAGGATATCGTGAGACATTGTGTCGTCCATGAAAATTGCCTCAGTTAAAAGAGTTACCAAAAGGGATCCCAGTATTCCCAACAAATTTAATCCGACTGAAACTGTCAAGATCGGCTTTTTTGTTGATGAACATTCGCAATGGGTAGTTTTCAACAAAACAGTCTTAACTGTGGATACGTATTACTCAGCAGTGAGACAATGCCATAAATGTGGCAGACTGGATCATACTAAACTAGGTTGCAGATCGGAAGAGAGGTGTTTGAAATGTGGTTTGGGCAAGGGGAAATGCGATGGTAATTGCAAGCAATAATATTGTATATTATGCAACAGAGAAGGACATGTTGCTATTAATAGGAATAAGCGTCCGATTTGAAAAAAGGAGGTGGAAACCAATAAAATCATGACCAAGAGTCGAGTTCTTTTGCCACAATTATAATATATTGATATAGCAGTTTTCTCAGATTTTTTCTCTGAGAAGTCTAACAAACCAAACAAGATGATAAATTTTAACCTTATTCAAAAATTCAGAGCAAAAGGCTATGGAGGTGCAACCATCACATTTAAAAAAACATGTTAAATTTTGCAGAGTCATCTACAATACCAACCATGATATAATAACAGCGAAAAACTTAAACTAACGTCCAAATTTCCATATTGTCTCCGTATATTTCCACCCGTTCAAGCTTCCAGATATCGTATGCAACACACCACCTAAAGAATGGAAGAACTCCCAAGTATTGGTGGATCGATCAGTTACTGGCTCTGTACAGGAGATATGTAGCTGCGACCAATAAGGCTAGAAAATACCTTTCTTATTTAAAACTGGAGAATGCCATTTTGGAAAAGGAAAACTGGAAAGAGCAGGTAGCAGTGGCCAAATGACAGAAATTTCTGGCCATAATTGATGAGTTGAATAGATAGCCCTGTGCTAGAAAATCTCAGTCATCTAAGGGATCAAGTCCCTAACAACACACCTATTACCTATACCACAACTCATTCAAACCAGACTCATTCAAACCACATCTCATTCAAACCAGACAATCGTTTTATGCACCGAGTAACTAAACAATGTCCAATGTCGTATCACATACGAAATTGTTAATAATCCTTCAGACCAAGCCTATGAAAATCTGCTTATTGCAATGAATAATGCCTGGACAAATTATGACGACAAAAACGAATGGAGGAAAATTAAGATTGTTCCGATTCCAAAAAGAGGCAAGGATCTAGATATACTTACGAATTTTAGACCGATTTCACTTATATCCGTTTTCTTAAAAAACTTCAACCTTATTTTACCTCATAAAACATACGCATATAGGAAAAATCTTTCCGCATATATGTGCATAAATGACTTGCTATACACAAGTCTAGCTTTATTCAATATCTACACACTTGGCTTACATGGAGTCAATGACCAATTTACGAAGAACTTTCAATTTGCTGAAGATTTTACCATACTGTCGGCGTACAATTTATGCATTCTAAGATCCCTTAATCTCAAGTACAATCCAGAAAAAACAATTGCTATGTATATAGCAAAGGGTGCAAGGAAAGTTCCTGAAATAAAGGTACATGACACTCGGATAAATTCCGTCGATAAAATCAAATTTCTTGGCCGGCACATTAAGAACAGCCTTACGTTAAAAGACTACTACGATGAGGTAATCAGCTCATGTAGCACAACTCTTGATGCACCCAAATTAATTATGCCGACAAAAGCTGGAATACTTATGGATCATACAAAGCAAATCCCACAAGCAAAACAAGCTTTGGGCTCATGTAACAAATTCAAACATATTTTTGACAACACAAAATTCTCTCAGTTTGAAACCCCTGGTGAGAAAATAACATTCCTAATAAATATTTTTAACTCAACTTCTAGCCAGAACTTCTTATTTAAAACTAACTCAAAGTGTTCATCGCTTATGGGAGAACTAAATGCAATTAATAAGGCAATTGGCATTATTCTAGTGGACGGTATTGGAAAGGCCCTCATTCTAACAGACAGTAAAAATGTCTGACTTTCATTAAATCACAATAACAACCACAACTATCTAACCAACAAAATAAACTTGAAGATTAACAACTCAATATCAGTTCACTCACCTTTATTCCGGTTCCGTCACATATATGCATCACAGCAGATGAATGTGCTGACTAGTGGCCACAGTTGGCTGTATAATAATAACACATATATCAATCAATGATGCATATTCTGCAATCTGTGGAATGAATGGGTCAACAACTGCAAAACAATATGAAGAACAAAAAGCATATGCTTCTTCCAATTCTACGCTTCACCTCTAAAATCACAATGGTATGCTGGGTTATCTTTGTCACCTGGAGAAATCAAGTTAATAAATCGTCTTTTGGCTGACCATACATTTACAAAGACCTACCTTTTTAAAGTAAATAGAGCGAACACCAACTTATGTGATGTCTGCAACATACCAGAATGTGAAAGTCATCCAATTTTCGCTACACTTCCGGCAGACATTTTGTGGAGAACGCACACGTTTTGTTTTCTGTTGAAAAGTTCTTTGGAAACTTATTATAGGTAATTGTTTTTTGTAGAGATCACACAAAAATTTGTATGCACTTTATATATAATTGTGAGACAAAAAAATATTTTTTTTGTCTTAAACTTTACAAATAAATAATTTAACTTGAATATGGCCCAGGCAGAAAGTGTTGACAGCCTACCCAATTCTCTGATTGTTTGTTGCTTGGACAGCGACAGGTCAGAGGGGCATTAGAATAAGGTGGAGTCGAGAAATAAAGCTAAAAGAATAAAGAATGATGCGGGGAGTATGACAAATGCTAGTGGTAGCAGTGCTGATGGAAATTCGGTTATGGATATGGAACAAGAGAATTATGCTTGCAGAATTGACAACAAATCCACGCACCTCGATGGGGCCGAAAGGGATGAGCCGAAAAAAAGGAAGATCAATGATAAAAAAGTGCTGTATGGTAAGGATAATGCAGATGAGATAAATGTGCTAGTTGACACATCGGAGGTAGAAAATGTTAAAAATAAAAGGGTCAATATTTTATGGAAAAGATTAAAGACCTGAAATCGGATGAATTCAATAAAATTAACAAGATGGTCGCTGTGTATGATCTGAAATCAGCCAACGACTTTGTTAACAACAGCGAGTTAAAAGAGGGAGAAATGAAAGTATATATACCAAGGAATTTTATTGAGACCTTTGGTGTAATTAGGAATGTTCCATTATGCTGGACTAAGCAGGATATCGTGAGACATTGTGTCGTCCATGAAAATTGCCTCAGTTAAAAGAGTTACCAAAAGGGATCCGAGTATTCCCAACAAATTTAATCCGACTGAAACTGTCAAGATCGGCTTTTTTGTTGATGAACATTCGCAATGGGTAGTTTTCAACAAAACAGTCTTAACTGTGGATACGTATTACTCAGCAGTGAGACAATGCCATAAATGTGGCAGACTGGATCATACTAAACTAGGTTGCAGATCGGAAGAGAGGTGTTTGAAATGTGGTTTGGGCAAGGGGAAATGCGATGGTAATTGCAAGCAATAATATTGTATATTATGCAACAGAGAAGGACATGTTGCTATTAATAGGAATAAGTGTCCGATTTGAAAAAAGGAGGTGGAAACCAATAAAATCATGACCAAGAGTCGAGTTCTTTTGCCACAATTATAATATATTGATATAGCAGTTTTCTCAGATTTTTTCTCTGAGAAGTCTAACAAACCAAACAAGATGATAAATTTTAACCTTATTCAAAAAATGCAGAGCAAAAGGCTATGGAGGTGCAGCCATCACATTTAAAAAAACATGTTAAATTTTGCAGAGTCATCTACAATACCAACCATGATATAATAACAGCGAAAAACTTAAACTAACGTCCAAATTTCCATATTGTCTCCGTATATTTCCACCCGTTCAAGCTTCAAACTTAAGATGTGTAAATCTTGGTAAAATTACAAATAAAAGGAATCCTGATTGAAATGATTGAGGATTCTCTCAAAGTGGAGATATCGTATGCAACACACCACCTAAAGAATGGAAGGACTCCCAAGTATTGGTGGATCGATCAGTTACTGGCTCTGTACAGGAGATATGTAGCTGCGACCAATAAGGCTAGAAAATACCTTTCTTATTTAAAACTGGAGAATGCCATTTTGGAAAAGGAAAACTGGAAAGAGCAGGTAGCAGTGGCCAAATGACAGAAATTTCTGGCCATAATTGATGAGTTGAATAGATAGCCCTGTGCTAGAAAATCTCAGTCATCTAAGGGATCAAGTCCCTAACAACACACCTATTACCTATACCACAACTCATTCAAACCAGACTCATTCAAACCACATCTCATTCAAACCAGACAATCGTTTTATGCACCGAGTAACTAAACAATGTCCTAATGTCCAATGTCGTATCACATACGAAATTGTTAATAATCCTTCAGACCAAGCCTATGAAAATCTGCTTATTGCAATGAATAATGCCTGGACAAATTATGACGACAAAAACGAATGGAGGAAAATTAAGATTGTTCCGATTCCAAAAAGAGGCAAGGATCTAGATATACTTACGAATTTTAGACCGATTTCACTTATATCCGTTTTCTTAAAAAACTTCAACCTTATTTTACCTCATAAAACATACGCATATAGGAAAAATATTTCCGCATCTATGTGCATAAATGACTTGCTATACACAAGTCTAACTTTATTCAATATCTACACACTTGGCTTACATGGAGTCAATGACCAATTTACGAAGAACTTTCAATTTGCTGAAGATTTTACCATACTGTCGGCGTACCATTTATGCATTCTAAGATCCCTTAATCCCAAGTACAATCCAGAAAAAACAATTGCTATGTATGTAGCAAAGGGTGCAAGGAAAGGTCCTGAAATAAAGGTACATGACACTCGGATAAATTCCGTCGATAAAATCAAATTTCTTAGCCGGCACATTAAGAACAGCCTGACGTTAAAAGACCACTACGATGAGGTAATCAGCTCATGTAGCACAACTCTTAATGCACTCAAAATGATTAATTGGACAAAAGCTGGAATACATCCAAAAATTTCTACAAAATTAGCAAAATCTTTGTTATTCTCAAAAACTGAGTTCTCCGTTTCTTCCATGGCTCACATGCCGAACAATATTAACAAGAAAGTAACAACCTATCAGAACCAGATACTTAGAAGAAGTCTAGGACTGACACCATCCACTCCTGTCCAAATTATTTATGCACTTGCAATAGTTCTTCCACCTGAACAACGCTCCCAATATCTGGCCACCAAGGAACTACTAAAATTCAAATTATTTCACACCGATACCTATGAATCATACAAAGCAAATCCCACAAGCAAAACAAGCTTTGGGCTCATGTACAACAAATTCAAACACATTTTCGACAACACAAAATTCTCTCAGTTTGAAACCCCTGGTAAGAAAATAACATTCCCAATGAATATTTTGAACTCAACTTCTAGCCAGAACTTCTTATTTAAAATTAACTCAAAGTGTTCATCGCTTATGGGAGAACTAAATGCAATTAAAAAGGCAATTGACATTATTCTAGAGGACGGTATTGAAAAGACCCTCATTCTAACAGACAGTAAAAATATCTGTCTTTCATTAAATCACAATAACAACCACAACTACCCTATTAACGAAATAAACTTGAAGATTAACAACTCCAATATCAGTTCACTCACCTTTATATGGGTTCCGTCATATATAGGCATCACAGCAGATGAACGTGCTGACTAGCGGTCACACTTGGCTGTATAATAATAACACATCTATCAATCAATGATGCATATTCCGCAATCTGTGGAATGAATGGGTCAACAACTACACAACAATATGAAGATCAAAAGGCATATACTTCTCCCAATTCTTCGCTTCACCTCCAGTATTACATTGGAAAGCTGGGTTATCTTTGTCACCTGGAGAAATCAAGTTAATAAATCGTATTTTGACTGTCCATACATTTGCAAAGACCTACCTGTTTAAAGTAAATAGAGCGGACACCAACTTATGAGATGTCTGCAACATACCAGAATCTGAAAGTCATCTAATTTTCGCTACATTTCCGGCAGACATTTTGTGGAGAACACGCACGTTTTGTTTTCTGTTGAAAAGTTCTTTGGAAACTTATTATAGGTAATTGTTTTTTGTAGAGATCACACAAAAATTTGTATGCACTTTAAAAGTGCATATAATTGTGTGACAAAAAAATTTTTTTTTTTGTCTTAAACTTTACAAATAAATCATTTAACTTGAATATGGCCCAGACAGAAAGTGTTGACGGCCTACCCAATTCTCTGATTGCTTGCGGCTTGGACAGCGACAGGTCAGAGGGGCATTGGAATAAGGTGGAGTCGAGAAATAAAGCTAAAAGAATGAAGAATGATGCGGGGAGTATGACAAATGCTAGTGGTAGCAGTGCTGATGGAAATTCGGTTATGGATATGGAAGAAGTGAATTATGCTTACAGAATTGACAACAAATCCACGGACCTTGATGGGGCCGAAAGGGTTGAGCCAAAAAAAAAGGAAGATGAATGATGAGAAAGTGCTATATGGTAAGATTAATGTAGGTGAGATAAATGTGCTAGTTGACACATCGGAGGTAGAAAATGTTAAAAATAAAAGGGTCAAAAATGGTCAATATTTTATGGAAAAGATCAAAGACCTGAAATCGGATGAATTCAAGAAAATTATCAAAATGGTCGCTATTGGGGTTACCCTTTGTATGATATCAAATCAGCCAACGACTTTGTTAACAACAACGAGTTAAAAGAGGGAAAAATGAAAGTATTTATACCAAGGAAATTTATTGAGACCTTGGGTGTAATTAGGAATGTTCCATTATGCTGGACTGAGCAGGATATCGTGAGAGACATTGTGTCGTCCATGAAAATTGCCTCAGTTAAAAGATTAGCCAAAAAGGATTCTAGTATTCCCAACAAATTTAATCCGACTGAAACTATCAAGATCGCCTTTTTGTTGATGAACATTCGCAATAGGTAGTTTTCAACAAAACAGTCTTAACTGTGGATACGTATTACTCAGCAGTGAGACAATGCCATAAATGTGGCGGACTGGGTCATACTATACTAGGATGCAGATCGGAAGAGAGGAAATGCGATGGTAATTGCAAGCAATAATATTGTATATTATGCAACAGGGAAGGTCATGTTGCTATTAATAGGAATAAGTGTCCGATTTGAAAAAAGGAGGTGGAAACCAATAAAATCATGACCAAGAGGAAAATGTCCAGAAGAGAATGAGCGGACGAATGAACGGACGAATGAACAGATTTGAACTTTTGATAAACGATGAAACATTTCCGGTCCTGCAGAAGATGAAGGGAAAGGAAAAAGGTGTCAGAGCTGCCAGCAAGGATGATCAGGTGAATGCTATAATGACCCTCATATAAGTTTAGTTCAGTCACGAAAGCGCAAAAGAAGAAATATATTCATCCTCAGGGTGTCAAAATGCCAGAAAGAATGGTTATTCAACCAACTCCTTCTGCTCCAGTTTACCCCAGAGAAGATCTTTTAAGTCACTGAGTTAGACAAGATTACTGGCGAATTATTAAAATTTGTTCAGGACTTTTTCAAAATGAGTGGCAATGCAGTTGCTATTGACGCTATAAACCTCTTTTCTGACAGAATACAAACATGTGGAATATCTACTAACCAGTTCTACACTTCTAATGCTCTTTATACATCTATCCATGGATCTGAAAGTTCTACAATATAATATACAGTCTTTCCAAGCTAATAAGCAATGCGTCGACTCCTTCTGCAACAATTATAATATATTGATATAGCAGTTTTCCCAGAATTTTTTCTGAGAAGTCTAACAAGCCAAACAAGATGATAAATTTTAACCTTATTCAAAAATTCAGAGCAAAAGGCTATGGAGTTGTAGCCATCGCATTTAAAAAACATGTTAAATTTTGCAGAGTCATCTACAATACCAACCATGATATAATAATAGCGAAAAACTTAAACCAACGTCCACATTTCCATATTGCCTCCGTTTATTTCCACCTGTTCAAGCTTCAAACTTAAGATGTGTAAATCTTGGTAAAATTACATTTAAAAGGAATCCTGATCCTGATGGCTCGGTCCTTGATTTGGCCTTTGTTAGCAACGGTTTAGCTATTGATTGGAGTGTTCTGGACAACTACCTCGGGGGTAGTAAACACTTTCCTGTTATCCTACAGCTACATGGTAACATTAATGGTTCTAAGAAGTTCCTTTCCAAAAATATACTGTTTGAATCCTTGAACAAAGTACAATTAGAGCCTGATTTCCAAATGATTGAGGATTCTCTCAAAATGGAGATATCGTATGCAACACCCCACCTAAAGAATGGAAGAACTCCCAAGTATTGGGGGATCGATCAGTTACTGGCTCTGTACCGGAGATATGTAGCTGCGACCAATAAAGCTAGAAAATATCCTTCTTATTTAAAACTGGAGAATGCCATTTTGGAAAAGGAAAACTGGAAAGAGCAGGTAGCAGTGGCCAAATGACACAACTTTCTGGCCATAATTGATGAGTTGAATAGAGAGCCCTGTGCTAGAAAATCTCATTGATCTAAGGGATCAAGTCCCTAGCAACTATTACCTATACCACAACTAATTCAAAGCAGACTCATTCAAATCACATCTCATTCAAACCAGACAATCATTTTATCCACCGAGTAACTAAACAATGTCCTAATGTCCAATGTCGTATCACATACAAAATTATTAATAATCCTTCAGACCAAGCCTATGAAAATCTGCTTATTGCAATGAATAATGCCTGGACAAATTGTGACGTCAAAAGCGAATGGAGAAAAATTAAGATTGTTCAGATTCCAAAAAGAAGCAAGGATTTAGATATACTTACGAATTTTAGACCGATTTCACTTATATCCGTTTTCTTAAAAATGATCAACGTTATGGTGAAGAATCGTCTGCAAAAATTCTTGGACGACAAAAACATTTTACCTCATAAAACATACGCATATAGGAAAAATGTTTCCGCATCTATGTGCATAAATGACTTGCTATACACAATCAATTGCCACAAAGAGCTTGGTGAAAAAGTTATAATCGTAGCACTTGTTATCTCCAGAGCATACGATTGCGTAAAAATTGAGGTTCTCTTCAAAATACATGAAGAACTCCAATTTCCTGATCAAATATCTATCTGGATAATAAATTTTCAAAAGCAGTGAACATTAGTTTTGGGTTAGCAAACTCTTGAAATTTATAATGGTCTTCCCCAGGGGAACTGTTTAAGTCTAACTTTATTCAAAATCTACACACTTGGCTTACATGGAGTCAATGACCAATTCACCAAGAACTTTCAATTTGCTGAAGATTTTACCATACTGTCGGCGTACAATTCTAAGATCCCTTGATCTAAAGTACAATCCAGAAAAAACAATTGCTGTGTATGTAGCAAAGGGTGCAAGGAAAGTTCCTGAAATAAAGGTACATGACACTCGGATAAATTCCGTCGTTAAAATCAAATTTCTTGGCCGGCACATTAAGAACAGCCTTACGTTAAAAGACCACTACGATGAAGTAATTACCTCATGTAACACAACTCTTAATGCACTCTAAATGATTAATTCGACAAAAGCTGGAACACGTCCAAAAATTTCAATAAAATTACCAAAATCTTTGTTATTCTCAAAAACTGAGTTCTCCTTTTCTTCCATGGCTCACATGCCGAACTATATTAACAAGAAAGTAACAACCTATCAGAACCAGATACTTAGAAGAAGTCTAGGTCTGACTCCATCCACTCCTGTCCAAATTATTTATGCATTTGCAATAGTTCTTCCACCTGAACAACGCTCACAATATCTGACCACCAAGGAACTGCTAAAATTCAAATTATTCCACACCGATACTTATGAATCATACAAAGCAAATCCCACAAGCAAAACAAGCTTTGGGCTCATGTACAACAAATTCAAACATATTATCGACAACACAAAATTCTCTCAGTTTGAAACCCCTGGTGAGGAAATAACATTCCCAATAAATATTTTGAACTCAACTTCTAGCCAAAACTTCTTATTTAAAATTAACTCAAAGTGTTCATCGCTTATGGGAGAACTAAATGCAATTAATAAGGCAATTGACATTATTGTAGTGGGCGGTATTGAAGAGGCCTTCATTCTAGAAGACAGTAAAAATATCTGTCTTTCATTAAATCACAATAACAACCACAACCACCTTGCCAACGGAATAGACTTGAAGATTAACAACTCCAATATCAGTTCACTCACTTTTACATGGGTTCCGTCACATATAGGCATCACAGCAGATGAACGTGCTGACTAGCGGCCACAGTTGGCTGTATAATAATAACACATCTACCAATCAATGATGCATATTCCGCAATCTGTGGAATGAATGGGTCAACAACTACAAAACAATGTCAAGAACAAAAGGCATATACTTCTCTCAATTCTTCGCTTCACCTCTAAAATCACATTGGTATGCTGGATTATTTTTGTCACCGGGAGAAATCAAGTTAATACATCGTCTTTTGGCTGACCATGCATTTGCAAAGACCTACCTTTTTAAAGTAAATAGAGAATAGGATACCAACTTATGTGATGTCTGCGACATACCAGAATCTGAAAGTCATCTAATTTTCGCTACACTTCTGCCAGACATTTTGTGGAGAACGCACACGTTTTGTTTTCTGTTGAAAAGTTCTTTGGAAACTTATTATAGGTAATTGTTTTTTGTAAAGATCACACAAAAATTTGTATGCACTTTAAAAGTGCATATAATTGTGTGACAAAAAATTTTTTTTTTGTCTTAAACTTTACAAATAAATCATTTAACTTGAATATGGCCCAGACAGAAAGTGTTGACGGCCTACCCAATTCTCTGATTGTTTGCGGCTTGGACAGCGACAGGTCAGAGGGGCATTGGAATAAGGTGGAGTCGAGAAATAAAGCTAAAAGAATGAAGAATGATGCGGGGAGTATGACAAATGCTAGTGGTAGCAGTGCTGATGGAAATTCGGTTATGGATATGGAAGAAGAGAATTATGCTTACAGAATTGACAACAAATCCACGCACCTTGATGGGGCCGAAAGG